TCCTTAAGCTCTTGTGAAAATTTCTTCACAAACCAAAACTTGAAACAAACTTGAAACCCTTAAACAAACTTGAAAAACTCTTTTAAAACATTTTTTTTAGTTTTTTAGAACTGAGGATATGTGAGGGTATTTATAGGAACCCCAAAGCCAAGAGAAAACAAGACAAAGAAACCAAAAACCCAAAACATGATAATACTAAAAAAACTAGCCGTTACAGCATTAGTCGAATAATACTGTTCATCAGTCGACTGATGAGATGACCGTTACAGGCCAACAACACGTCCAGTCGACTAAAGGACTTTGTCAGTCGACTGAAGACCTCATCAGTCGACTGATCAGTCGACCGACAGAAAAACAAAAACTTTTGACTATTCCAGGCGTTTTCATCAGTCGACTGAACACTTTCATCAGTCGACTGATAACACATTATTAGCCTGATTTGAATAGTAAAACTAATTTTTGAAGTGCCTTTAAAAATAGCAAATAAATTTATAAAAATGTAAAACTTTGGAGAATGTTTGTAAACATGAAAATGAACATGTTACAAAAACTGGTTTTTAAATAGCACCTTCCATTTGTGTAATCTCATCATTTTGCAAAATCACTTAAAATATGAAATCTCGAAAACACACAATTTTAAAACTTTGTAAAATGATTTTATAGACTTAATGAAAGATGTATCATGATTGTTAAGTCCATAAACAAAAAACTCAACATTTTCACAAATTTATATTTATATAAACTTAAAAACCAAAAACCAAAATGTGCATATATTTATATACTATATATATATATATACACATAATATAACACCTAAACTAATTTACCCAAGCAATCTTGATCTTCAATAAGCTCGACTTGGTAAACCATGGATGAAGCTTGAACTAGGATCTTGATTTGAATGTGCAAGGCTTCATACCGATATGCCGCCAACCTCCATTGGATATGATCGTTGAAGCACAATTTCATCCAACCTAACTCTTTGTTTGCCTAGAATAAATACAAAATCACAAACATTAGACAAACAATATTAGTTATAAATTGTTTGTTAAAACATCATCAAAACAAAAAAGGCTAATAATTAACAGGATACCATAGCACAATTTAAGCTCGATTTAGTACTTCTTTCTGATCCATAGGCGACCATATTAAATTTTTTGAAATGGTTGTCTTTCGGAAAGATGGCATATTGCTGTAGCTAAGTAATGTGTTGTTTTGATACGTGTCAAATGGATGATGTTTTCCAGGGTAAAGCTAAGGTTGTATTTCTTGATCAGGAGCCCTATCTTATCTGTCTCATATACAGCTACAACTGCATTTGTCAGGTTGTTGCTCCACCAAATAAAAAATATTGTCTCAATCCATTTTCAACTAGTCCATTTTTCATCTATAAACTTCTTTTGACTTCCACACAAATATCGGATTGCCATATCGGGTGGTATGCATATATATAATATCATGTCCTTCGGACGATATGATTCTACTATAATTAACAAGACAACAAATATGGATTTAGACAACCAATTGTATTTACATATTTAAATCAATTGCATATTTAAATCAATTTACACTAAAAAGTAATTAGTTTTCTTTCAAGTTTATTAGTAGCAGCATGATGTTTATTGTGCATAATGTGATTTATTTATTGATATAAAATATAGCTGTTATACAGTGCATGAGTTTGCAATTCTAGCATTTGTTCCTTTGGTATCAGTTAACAGTCTGAGATAGTAAATTGGTTAAATTTTTACGTTTCACTTAGCCATTATGTCAAATTCCTTGTACGCATGCCGAGTAAATTTCACTAAACAATCATGAACTCCAAGGGTTTTACAAAAATAACTCTAAAGTATCTTTGTTAACAAATTATCACAAATTTCAAATCTGACCATGAAATAAATATCAGGAATTTTATTAATGTTGTACAAAACTACCAAAAAATTTCTAATAACGTCACTAAACTATCATCAACTTCATGTTGTTCTCAAATAAACCCTATGAACTAATACTTATCATAAAACTAAAACAAGAGCAGCGGCAACGATGAGTGGATTCCGATGTCGCAGGGAGGCAGCATCGGCGATGTGAGGAGAACTAAAAGGCATATCTGCTAATTTTTCAAAGCTGAAAAATAGGCCGATATGGCCCCGACGTATCCGACTTTCTCCTGAAAACTGACATACGACTTAAAAATGCCTGACTTGTGTCGCTCGAGTCCATGTCGGACATGTCGGCCGACATTTAAAACACTGAGTCACTTGATTCCTGGGAAAAATTAGAGCCACTTTGCTGATAATGAAAAACCCTATTTAATCTCTCCAATATGCAGCTTAGGTCAAGACATCAGTAAGTCTGTTGCTCCACCAAATAAAACATTATCCCAGCAAACCCAAATTCAATCAGGTCATTTATAAAATTCTCTTAGACTTCCATATTCAAACTTTCAAAGGAAACCAGCTCATCATTTGCTTTCCAAGTTTGGTTAAATTCCCAGATAATAATGTCTGTAGGCCCACACTTATGCTATGCTGACTATGTTCTCTTCATGCTTGTAAAGATTACTTGCGTGAACTTTCTTATACCCTATAACATTTACCATGGAGATATGATCCATGCACTGAGCTTCCTCTGGATTAAATAACATCAACCTCCCATATGTCCTTCCTAATCACTACTACACCGCCAAAAAGCTTCTTTGAAGGGAAGGTAACCATCCTTGAGCAATTATGCTTGCATCCATAGTGACTCTTCCTGAATTTGCTGCTGACCACGTGATAAACTTGGGTTATGAGCCAAATAAGCGTTTTGTAGTACCTGAGAGCTGTTCTTTCGGTCGATTCTCTGCCACTTCCATATTAAACTAATTGTACGGCTTAATGATGCTTAATGTGATGGCCCTTACATGCCCTTATTCATCTGACTTTCATTGTGATATGTGTTTGTCCGTGTTTACATCTATTACCAAATTTTTACAACTCCCTCTTGCAGTCGTAACTTATATTTTTCTGGGATAACCTTCAGGTACGGGGTGATCCTTCTTTTCTCCAATAATCTGTGGTTCTAGAGTTCGTTTAGAAAACCTTTCCCAAGAGTAACATGGAAGGATCTCTTATACCTATCTGAAGACTTGATCTCCTTTATCATATTTTGAGTGCCTGCATTCTTGCCACATGGAACTTCCTCCAAAAGATTGTGGCTCCATTTTTCTATTGAACTTCCAGCTCCTTACTACCTCATTGTTTTAATTCCTCTTTCCTCTTTCGTATGATCGGCTCTATAATCTCTTTAAAAAGTTTCATCACGTTTGATCATATGATTCATATTGCGACGTTTCAACTTGATTCCCTAATACTGCTCACTCTTGTATGCTATGATCATAAATAACCGCCAGGAGGAATTCCTTGTTATCCTCTCGATAAGTAGATCAAAGTTCAAGTCAAGGTCCTGCCCATTGGGATCTAACTTCAACTCAAAGTCCTTGTTAAGAGGACTTTGATTCCCTAGTACTGCTCACTCAATTGACCGTTAGGAAGAATTCCTTGTTATCCTCCCAATAAGTAGGGTTTAACTTCAAGTCGAAGTCCTGCCTACTGGTCTCTAACTTCAACTCAAAGTCCTGCCTACTTTTGTCTTTGTCCTGCTGTCATGATCACCTGATACTGTACTAAGTTCGTAACAGATGTTTCTTTCATTTGAAACAGATGATTCTTTCTGGAGTGAACTGGCATATTGTCTTGTCAAAGTCTTCTTATTTCTATCCTGACTCGCGAGGTCAGAACTTGATGACCTATATCGTTTTCGTATACAAAATCTACATTTCTCACATTCACTGAAGGTTCCTCCAGCATTCATCCTGGAATTGTCCCTCATGCATACCTTGGAGATGGTTCATATGGCTCNGCCATACATGCAACATGCCCACAATCCTCAACTCCAAATCAGTCTGAGATTTGACATGACAGTATAGTATGAATCACATTAAAGTTTTGCGATTATTTTACATGTTATATATCGTTATCTATAGCTATCCTAAATTTTAGTATTTTGAGGATAGGTTTTGCACCCATATAACCTATTTGTTGATTTATCTTCCAAATCTTTCAGTATTTGCTAATTTACTCACGCATTCTCTGAGATTGGTTTAATTTATCTTTCCACTTTGCAACCCCACCCCAACCCCCCTCAAAAAAAAGCCCAATAAAAAAAGGAAACACCCAACCTAGACCCCCCCTCTCCGTCCCTTAATGCTAGTAACGGCGTAACCTGCCCTCTCTTCCCCTAACCTAGGCCGCCCACTGTCCTGCTGTCCCTTAATCCCTAACCCTAATGGCACAACCCGCCTTCCCTCGCCTAACCCTAGACCCCATCTCCTCTCCTTGCGGCGCCCACTTTCCTCGTTGTTGACATCGGAATTTCCATCCTCCACTTCCCTCCCTTCCTGTGCGTGACCCTAGATTAGGTAACTAATTAGGGGTAAATTAGTCATATTGTAAAAAGACTAAGCACACTAAAGGATTATGGTGAAACATAATGGGTATATTCCCTACCAGAACACATGGGGCTAAATACAAATTTTCAGAATGTGAAAAATAAGGAGATTTGCTGTAGGATAGATTTGAGCGGGGGTACATGTGTAAAAAATCCCTCTATGAAGATGGATTTGCAATCTGCTTCTGTTATCCCGATCCGGCTGATCTTAACCTGCCTCAAGTTGGGTCGGTTGACACCTGCTTTCTTCTTCTGTGCGGGAAGTTACATCTCTAGACATCTTGGAGTATTGCCATGCTGAGTGACTGGATATAATCACAAACATATAATTTAGAATTTGAGCTGATATAATTTGCAGTTGAGAGGTTCCCGTTTACATATGACTATGTACTAGCTCAGACCATCGGCTTCTTTAGCTTTGTTTACAGGTTTGCTTGCATGTTTTACTTCGTTCGTGATTAGTAGTTTCTTACAGGGCTATTCAATAATATTTGTATCATTTGGATCTGCAGGTTATATTGTGGTACAGGCTAGCAGTTTCGTGTAGGCAGTCACAACCTCGGGCATTTTTAGTTATTCCGACCATCTGAAATGTCAATGGAGGTCCAATGTTGTATATTACTCTTATGTTTACCGTGTTTGTTGTATTTATATATGTAACCGTTTTATTCTTCTTGTTAGCTTCCGTTTGTATTAAGGACTCTATTAGACAGAATGTCCAGTTATTTCTTGTTACCTCTTATGGCGCTCTTTAGCGCCCGGTTGTTTCTAGCTCCAAAACTGCTAGTAATGGATGAGGATCTTTCATGGATCAGTACTTCATGATTTTGTTTCGTGGCTTTGATCTAGCGTATGATCGAGGGTGTGGCATTTATCTGCTTGGTGTGCGAGATGATTTGAACTGAACACTGTTTCATGATTTTGGAAGATGTGGCTGCCCAGATTTAAGACCTCTTCTGCAAGATTTCTTACTGATTAACTATCAGAAAAACTATCTAAAGGAGAAGCTACAGATGTTCCTTTTTAGAACACTTCACCTCGTCTACTCTAATAATACGTCTAGACGTGTTAATGGAATACGAAGCTCTTCAGATCCACCTGCATGCCATAAGATGGTTTTCGACCAGCAATGGGTGGTGCAATGTCTATTTCACCTCGCTACGCATTGAGATGAAGACTTGAGAACCATCCCTCGCATACAGGTGATTTTGAGGGATTACATGCTCGTGTTAATGCCATCGCATACTCTCAAAATCTGAAAAATGAAAAGAAATTGTCACTCGTGAGACTCACGACGGCACGTCGTTCAACAATTCATATAATAGTTAGATTGGGAGTTGACTGCAGTTATATTATTAATCACGAAGCCAACCTAAGAAGATTTACGATGATTTACGATGTTTTATGTGCCACCAGATATGAAGGGCGGGTTTTCTTAGAAAAACTATATATCGAAGAAGAAATTTTCAGAAAAGACCCAATTCAAAAAAAAAAAATAAAAAAAAAAAAAAAAAATTCAAAAATCGACCCACTTCACTCTTTTTTACAGAAATCGATCCAATTTTTGACCACATCAGCATCGTAGCCAGAAACTGAGTTGTTTAAAAAAAAATTCTTAACTAGTCGGGGTTGCCAACCCCGACTAATTAGTGCCACCCTTTACCACCCTTAGAAACTCTTGAGTGATTAGCAAAGCCAAAAAAGTTGGGGTTGTGAAACCCGACTATTTTGGTCGGGGTTCCTAACCGCTACCGTTTGGCAGAGACATTGGATGCCCCCCACAAAATGGTATGTTTTGGTCGGGGTTCCTAACCGCTACCGTTTGGCAGAGACATTGGATGCCCCCCACAAAATGGTATGGTCGGGGTTTCCAACCCCGACCATTTGGCAAAGAGTCCCCTCACTCGAAAAATTAGGAATCAGATAAGTCACGAAATAGTCGGGGTTAGGAACCCCGACTATTTGTGGTGGCTCCCGCCTGCTTATATATATACCAACTGAACCCCTCTTCCCTTACAGTGTTGAATTTTTCTCTCTCTAACTCCGGTCTCCCCTATTCATCGGCTTACCCGGTTTTCCCAACCCCATTTTGTGGTCGAAATTCATTGAGGAAGTTTGCTTAAGATCTCTAGGTTAATTTCTCTTCCTTCTCTCCTTTTTTAACATGTAAAAATCTAGGGTTTTTTTTTCTTTAACATTCAAATGTAGGGTTTTCATCAAAATCCAATTTCTAGGGTTTAAAATTTAATATTAATCACTATCTTTGTGGTGGTTCAAATGGTTTGTGTGTGGATTGCTTTAATTGAAATTACAATTCTAGGGCATAGAATGCTCATTTCTAGGGTTTAGGGTTTTCATTTTGGGGTTTAGGGTTCATTTTGGGCAAAATTATAGTTATACGATTATGAGATTATTTGCATCTAGGATTTTCCTCTCTTATTCAATGGCATGATAAATTTTTTAAATTTTTTTTTGCATTTAAATGATATAATCCTCTTTTTCATAGGTTAAATTATATAATTTTTATTGCTTACTTTTAAGGTGGAAAAATTAATTATGGAATGAATAATATGCCAATGTACCTCGGAGGGGTAACGACGTCGTTAATGATCTAGAATCATATAGTTACTGTTGCTTGATTAAGGAATTACATCGAGTTACTAAATTTGATCTATGAGAATACTGACTAAAAATAATATGCAATTTGATCTATTGAAAAATTTCCATGTAGTTTGTGCCAAATATTCAAACCTCTAGGAGAATTCTCATGCATGTTAGATTTGGGAGTTGAGTTTGACGGTTTTCTTTCTTCTTCAAGTAAAATGGAGCGGGCTGAATTTTAATATCTAAGTGCACCTTCATTTGGGGGGATGTCAAATGTTATGAACAATGAAGTCTCTTATGAAAATATAAGGCCATTAAGAGGGGCAACGATTGAAGAGGATGAAAGAAGTAACGATTCTTAAGGTGAAGAACAAGATAGTGCACAAATTGATAGCATGCAATTTGTGATTAAAGATGTTGAATAGAATCTAGAATGACATGATGAGGCTTATGTTAATAATGAATATGTTGAGTACGAAGAGCTACCTCCCGAAGAGTTTGAAGATGATGAGTTGATTCGTTCTTTCACAGTACAAGATATGTGCATCGGTCAAAGTTCAATTGATAGAAGAGATGAGGACTTCACTTTTAAAGTTGGAGATTTATTCAAGACTAATGACCAATTGATTGATGCTATTCATGATTACTCTATCAAAGAGAATGTCAAATTCAAATAAGTTAAAAGCAATCACACAAGTTATGATGTAATTTGTTTTATGAATAAAAAAAAGAAAAGGTCAGGCCAAGGTAAATGGAGCTGATTACACATGTCCTTGAAAGTTACATGCATTTGCCGAAAAGAAACATAATAGGTATTTTAGGATCATGAAATACTACGGTGTTCACACATGTAGCAATCCGATATTAGAGCAATATCATAGTGGTGCATCTGCCTCTTACATAGCATGATTGATTATGCTAAAATTAAAGAAGAAGCTTGAACTAACTCCCGATAATATAATTGATAGAGTGCTATATACGAGATTCATTGAAATATCATATAGTAAAACATGGAATGCAAGGATAATTGTGATGAAAAAAATATTTGGTGATTGGGAGAAGTCTTACGCGACACTTTCTCAATATCTTGATGCGATCAAAAGAAGCAATCTTGGATCTGAATACAAACTTATAACCAAAGAGATCAATCCATGAGTTCATCAATTCACCTCTGTATTTTGGACATTTGGTCCTTCGATCGAGGGATTTAAATTTTGTCGACCGGTTCTTAGAATTGATGACACACACTTATATGGTAAATATAAATGTGTATTATGTTGCTACAGGAGTAGATGTAGATGGTGGCTTATTTCATTTGGTTTTTGTGGTTGTGGAGGTTGAGAATAGTGAAAACTAAGAGTGGTTTTTTTTTCATGTATTCAATTATATATTCCTAATGTATTACATCCTAGGAAGATTACTTTTATATCCGATAGGATGAAAGATATTCCTAAAATATTGTACATGAGATTTGTCTCTCATCACTATCATCGCTATTGCTTAAGACACATTAGAGATGATTTTAAAAAGAGGCATGGTCAGATATATTTACAAAACCTTCTTTCGTAAGTGGGTTGTACATCCGAAACATGTGTGTATGATCGGATTCGGGATCAAATAAAGGCAACATCTCAAGCTACACATGACTGGATTGAGAGTAGCTTGGGAAGTGAATATGTCGACAGGTGGGCATTAAGTAAAGATGGAGGGAATCTATTTTGCATGATGACAACTAACTATTTCGAAAGCTTCGATGGTGTACTTAAGGGAGCTCGAGCAGTGCCTATGAAAGTATCATAGAGGGGGAGTGAATAGGATAATTTGCTAATCTAACCCGATATCGATGCCAAATTAAAACTTATTAAATAATATCCTAGCAAATATGATATGCAACAAGTTATGTGTAAGGATATGTAATTAAACAACGGGCGATATAAACATGAACACAAGATATAGGAGAGATAGTGCGCAAATGATAATCACAGACAAAACGATATGATCACGAAGTTCGGTCATCCTCGACCTACGTCTTCGCTCCTCACCCTCGAGGAGAATCTTCACTATCTCAAAAATAGTACACAATCGGTTTTTCAAGTTCAATGAAAACTTTTATAACTCACACAATTATCAATACACAATACACTCCTCTATGTGTTGGCCTAGCCCGTATCACCTTCATCAAGTACTTGGATTTACCACCTCTCACTAGGCTTTACTACCAACTCCACTCCTTTCGGAATTGACCCAGTCTCTCCCAACCACTTCTCTAAGTGTTCTTGTGTATTACAACGTGTTCTCAACAATGATAAGATCAAATAAATGTTTGTTCTCTAACAAGGATGAGAGCAAAATCTAAGCTCACTCAATGATACAACCCCACAACCCAAATGTATACAATATGTAAAATACTAAAGCTCAATGGTTGTGTGTGTAAGTAATGAATAAAATGAAATTTAACTCAAATCAATCTAGCATAAATATATAAGAAACAAAATGATAAATAGCGAAATTTAACTCAAATCAATCTAGCATAAATATATAAGAAACAAAATGATAAATAGCTAGAAGATGAGTTAAGAAAACTTCTCAAATATATAAGAAACAAAATGATAAATAGCTAGAAGATGAGTTAAGAAAACTTCTCCAAGAACAAGAGATATAAGTGTTGAGGATGAAAGCCTCAAGCTTGAAATTGAAACCCTTCATTTGTGAAAACCTCTTCATATAAACAAAATTTTGATCTTTTAAAACTTAAAATAAACAGCCTAAAAACACTTGTAAAACTCTTGAGAAAAACCAAAGCAAGAGTGGTATTTATACCATCAAAAACCAAGCAGCTAAAAACTAGCCGTTATGCAAAAAATAGCCGATCGGTCGACTGACGATGTGTGTCGGTCGAATGATAATGTGACCGTTGGCTGAACTGGTAGATTCTGAAATATTGCGTATCTGACTTTATAAAATCAATTAAAAATAGCAAATCAACTCTAAAAGTATGAAATTTTGGAGAATGTTTCTACACATGAAGATAAACATGTTGGGGAAAGAATTTTTAAAATATCACTTCCCATTTGTGAGAACTTATTATTTTAAAACAGATATTCTAGATTCTGAAAACTATTGAATACTTAATTTTGTAAAATCGATTTAACATAGTAAATCAACTCCAAAAATGATAAAAATTTGGAAAATGTTTATACAAATGATATTGAACATGGTAGAAA